GTGCTTGCCCCAAGCCCCTGACCTGGGTGGGTGCGGGGGTGCACATTTTTCCAGGAGCCCCTGGCCAGAGCATCTATTGCACCCTGCCCCCCCTCCCCCACAAGGCTGGCTGGAGAGGGGAGAGAGGCAGCCAGATTGCTCCTACCCCTCTGCCCCCCGTCATTGCCCGCCCACCAAGTGTCCCCTCCTGCCTATGCCACTGTTGTACCAGTGGGTCCCCAGTATCTGTCATTTTGGTATTGTCACCCTTTTTAAGACCACAACCCCAGTGTAAACCAGGGACCTGCTGTATTGCCTGTCACCCCAAAGGTTGCTCACGCCTGAGGCTCCGTGTTTGTCACTGATTCCATGACTTCTGCAATGGCTGGTACACCTCGCCTGGGGGCCACCCGAGTAGCTTGGGAAGCCCCTGGACCAGGCGCACCGGCCGCTGCTGGGGCAGTCTCATGCCCCTGTCCCCCAGCAGCAGGACTTTGGGTGTGGGGAGGCTCAGGGCTGGGGGTTGGGGTGTGGGGGGCTCTCCTCCATCAGCGCCTATCTCCACATGCTGCCTCCACCTGCAGGCCAATGGGAGATGTAGAACCCAGGGCTTGGGGTGGAGCAGAGGCAGCACGTGGATCCTGGAGCTGGGTAGGGAGCCCACCCGCAGTGCTCTCCTGAGCCGTGCTTCCCTCCACTCACCCCCATTTTAGTCAGGGGTATATAGTAAAAGTCCTGGACAGGTCACGGGCCATGAATTTTTGTTTACTGCCTAGGACCTGTCCATGGCTTTTACTAAAAATATCCGTGACTCAAATGTACCCTTACTCATGCCCTCTGTTCCCTCACTTAGCCCTGATCTACACGGGGGGGGGCTCGATCGAAGTTAAGCAGCTTCAGCTACATGAATAACGTAGCTGAAGTTGACGTACTTAGATCTACTTACCGCAGTGTCTTCACTGTGGGAAGTCGACGGCTGTTGCTCTCCCGTCAACTCCGCCCGCGCCTCTTGCTCTGGTGGAGTACCGGAGTCGCCAGCAGAGCACTTGGTGGTCAATTTATCGCACCTAGTCTAGACGTGATAAATTGACCCCCACTGGATTGATCGCTGCCAGTCTCCAGCGGGTAATGTAGACAAGCCCTTAAAGATTCTCATTCTGGTATCTAAAAGGGGACACTACCTAATTTTGCCAGTTTCTCCTTAGTAACTTCCACCTCTTGTTAACCTGTTGGTGTCAAATTCTGCTAAACACTAGAGCAAAATGCAGCAGCCCTCAATGTTTGGAAAGCTAGTGAGCTCTACATTTTACTTATAGCATTAATGCTGCCCTTTCTATGCTGGGAACTTATCTGAATGATGAGTAAAAGTGTAAACCCTCGTGAATCCAGGTGGGCAGGATGTGTATATCCTGCGCTTTGGCACACCAGCCTTAGCCAGTATCTCCGCCTCGTGTATCTTGTCCACCTTAAATCCGACAATGTTGTCCTCTTCATTGTAGCCTCATATCACTTGCACCCAACTTCCATGTGACAGATGCCCATTTGTCAGCTGCGCAGGCCCTCTAATCTCCAGCTGACAGGATGGACTTTCGTTCCTGGTACCACAAGCCACTCCTCTTTCCTTACTGTCCTTGGCGTGTGGATCTGCTCTGTAAACTGACTAAGGTGCCTAAGGGCATCATGTTTGTCTCGACGATTCCAGATCAAATTTGCCTGGCAAGTAAGAGATGGCTTTCCAGCTCCAGACTAACACAGCTACCCCTCTGATACTTTCCAGCTCCGACTCCCCGGCCTTGACAATCTGCGGGTGCAATTTGGTTAAATGTTCTGGTGCTGCTGGAGCCAGGTGAGATTCCAGGTCCCTCCCCTGCGGCTGGATGTCTCTGCAGCGCTAGGAGTACAAGGTGGGGGAAGCTTTTGTTGCTGGAATCTGTGGATCTGACCGATGCATGCAGTTGCCTGAGTAAGAAGGTGCTGCTTGCTATTACCTGTCACTGTCCAGTGAAGAACCACAGGTTAGGGAACAGAGGATGAAGGAAAGGCGAGAGCGGTGGCACATACGCTCCCTCCTGAAAGGGTCTAGGCAAAACTATGCCACTTAAAACAAAACAACAAAAAGCTGTTAGGGTGCTGGGTGGGATGGGTGCTACTTCGAGGGGTGGAAGCTGCCCTGTTTGCCATAGGGTTGAACTGTTTGTTGTACATGGAGACACTTTACAAAACTGAGGTTTTAAAAAATAAATAAATAAATAAATAAAAATGCAGGTTGACCTGTCAATGAAAAGAATGAAGCTCTTTGTGGCATTGTCTGGTAGTGTGGTACTGTGTAACTGGACTTGTCTGGTTTCTTCAGCTCTGCTGCTGCGGTGTCAGTGGGTTCCTGCAGGCCATCGCCTCATTTGGTTACAGAAAAGTGGCTTTCAAACCGCTCCACCCCCTTCCCCATCCCACCAGGGATATGCTAATCAGTTTCAGGAAGGGAAGTTCTTGGGAGGGGGAAAGTGGACCTCTAACTGCAAACCCACCATTTAATTAGGCCCACGCTTAAAACTAGCCCAAAGGCCCTAGCATCTGTTGGTTCATTTCTGCTCCAGCCCTGGCCTAGATTCCTGGTTAGTCAAGCATTCTAGTATTCCTCGGTGAGTGGCATCTTCATTGTGGAGGTGTCTGCTGAGCGGAACCTCGAGGGGAGTGGTGTGAGGAGGAAGGAAAACCTAGGCTGGGGCTCTTGAAAAATGCTCCGGCAGGGAGGTGTAGTTCAGCTGTGGACTTGGGGAAAGCCCCGGGCTCGAGATGTCTGAAAGTAGGCTGGACAAGACCCTAGTAGCCGTACTGTGGGGACCGGCCTCTGGCAGGGAGCGGCACCCTGAGCCTTGGGAACACTTCTTATTCTGTCACACCTGCAGCAGCTGTCCCAGGCTTGAGAATCTGCATCATTGGGGGCCTCCTCCCTGCCCAGAGCCACCCCTTGAAACCCAGGTTATTTGTTCTGCTCCAGGTGCCATGCGCTAGGCTGCTGGGCACCAAAGCAAAGACTCCATCAGTATGAGGCTTTCTAAAATATACAGGGGGATCCTGGGCTGTTTGACTATTACCACCATATGGGATATCTGCACAGGGAGTGAATGGGGCAGGAGCTCCAGATAGATTCCCCCCCACTTCCCCTCAACTGTGTTCTCACAAGAATAACTCTCATGGTGCCGTAACTCCAGCTGCTGTAGAATGGCTGGTCATGCTGACAGAGTGTCACCATGGCAGTGTGATTAGAGGGGGTGTGTGCAGCGTGTATAGAGGTAGCTCAAAGCTAACGCGTGTAACAATCGCGATGAAACTGTGTGAATACATGTGCAGGGCCCTGGGCTGGTGGGGCTTGGCCCTGTTGCCAGGGCTTCCTTGCTATCGTTACTCGAGCTAGCTGGGTCAAAGCTGACTTGGGGTATGTCTGTACACGCTCCACTTCCTGCTTGCAGTGTAGACATACCCCTGGGTGGTGAAGGTGTGACAGCAGTGCAGAATAGTCTACAGCAAGCTGACTGTTAGCTCCACACCAGTTCTGCAATCCCACCTCCTGGTTACAGTGCAGACATACCCTTAGAGCACCTCTGTGAAGTGTCAGCTGAGAATGTCACGGCCGGTTTGTATCACTTAGGGAGTAGTGTCAGCCTCCACCTAGTGGAGGTGTCCAGCTGGCTGAAAGTGAAGTTGCCTCTGTAGGAGTTTATAAATCATTTCAGGGCACAAATTGGCTATCACAAGGCTGCACTGAAAGCAACTTCCAGGCATTGAAAACTAGGCTCATAGACCACCTGTCCAACTAAGCAACCTCTGGGCTGATTCTCCTTCAAGTGAGCGTGTACATACGTTGCACTGCTGGAGTGTCAGGAGCTGGCTGGTATAATGAAGGGGAGCCCAGATGGGCCTGTGGGGCCCTGGGACCCCAAGATGGACCTAACTGAGGGGGTCCTTTTGTCTGTGCCTGCAAGACCTGTCTTGGACTGTGTTCCTGTCGTCTAAA